TGGAATCAAAACTGTGGGTACTGGATATTTTTTGTATTCGTTCGTAGGAGGGTAGTGTGGTGTTGTTATTAAGATTGTAAATTGTATGGGATCTGTTAGAGAAGGTGTTTTGGTATGTTGGATTGTCCTTATTGGCTGATATTCTAGCTGCATATGTGAGACTGAGATGGTAACTCCTTATGTCTAGTGGAGGTTCTGCAGACGCCACGTACAAGCTTTCTACTGAACTCGTGCGGTATGCTCCAATGGCGATTCGTATAGCGGTGTTGTGGATACTGTCCAGTTGTTTGAGTACTGATTTACTTGCGTTACTGTATATTATTGAACCATATTCAATTTGCGATCTGATTGTGGAACGATAAATACGCATCAAGGTAGTACTATTAGCACCCCAGGAGAGATTCGATAGAATGTTCATGGGGTGGAGTCCATTCTGGCATTCACGTTCCTAACGTGTGCATTCCAAGATAATTTCTTATCGAATATCATTCTCAAAAATTTTATGTGTAACGAAATATCTCACCTATGTCTTACTTCTTTTAAATCAAACAAAACACAAGCATACATTTTCTCTACGAAATCAGATCTCACTGTGCCCAACATAAGCTTGTCAGGAGTAACCATACCTTTGAAGACATCCATTTCGATGCTTGATATTACTATCAGCAAATAAGCTTTCTTGAGAAAATCACATGAGATCAATTGCTAAAAGTGCATCCCAAAAATTTGGTTTGCTGTTTCGAGTCACAGATCCGACCTGTCCTGGAATACTGTTTCCATATTTGGAGTGCAGCACCCAAACATACCCTGAAACTGTTGGATTCTGTCCAAAAAAGGGCAATTCGTCTCGTAAGTGATGCCTCGCTCACAAACTCACTCACTTCTCTGGAACACCGTGAAGAAGTTGGCGATCTGGCTCTATTTTATAGATATTCGCATGGACGATGCTCTTCTGAAATAACAACAATTGTCCCTGTCTTGGCAGTCCCCGCGAGATCAACCCGTCGAGTTGAGGCTTCGCACCCCTTCGTGGTCACTTGGGAGACCTGCAGAACATCTATTTCCAAAGACTCGTTCATTCAACGAACAGCGAGGCTCTGAAACACATTGCCAAGGAAGGTGTTCCCCGAGGCATTCAATCTCCAGAAACACCAATTCCTACCTCATTTCCCTTGGTTCTCACGATTATCTCTGAACATTGGAGTATATCCCTTCTCGTTGGAACCAGAACATAAAAAAATCCTAATTGCTTGGGGCAGACGATGATGAGAGGGACCGAATGCATGGGGGATACCGGACGCCGAGAGCTCCGGAAGGGCCGCCGTGGATAGCATCCCCAAAAGTAATGACAAGGAAGCTGCTTGAGGTCGGCAGGTGACGAAGGGACCTAGGAAGATGAATGGCATGGTGTGACGAAGGATTCACGCATCGCCGGAGTGATCCAGAGATAATTGCCCACTGTGTCAGTTAGTGTTCGGTAGCCAACCACGAATTGTGTCGTGGGTACTGCCAGGAGCTTCCAGAAGGCGAATGACGAGGTTGCCGAGTATAAACGTGTTTGGCACTATAGCTAGAGCGATGCCCCAGTTATGTGCAATCCCCTTTTGACCTACCATCAGAGCTAGCCGGTGAGCCTACGTTGTAGGCTACGAGTAAGTAACATTCCAATTAGAATGCAAACATCCACGGTACTAAAAAGAAATACATAATTGTGTACATTGAATTTGTTTCCTGAATAATTAGTCGAATTTTACTTGCTCTTCCAGAGTTCGGAAACATTTTTGGCTGAAATGCAACAGAATCCAGGAAAGAGATAACACCAATATCCAATCAAGTGCTCGATTACAGACATGAAAACAGTATTTCAGATTATCAACACAAACATTCCAATTGAGCAAAACCTTTCATCTCAAAATTAGTGAAATAATCTGTTTCATTCATCAATTTCTGTTGAAAATGTCAATCTCAACAGTACTCTTTCGGCATACAAACGCTGATTTTGTTTTTGTTCATGGAGAGAATGTGTCTTCCGAACTATAAATGATGCTAGTTAATATTCAGGTCATCTCATTCTGATCACTTCATACTATTGTTGTCTGCTGGCATTGATCCTACAACAATGTACGATTCTGAGACGCTTCCAAACCATCAATGTTTCTGGAAATGTGATACTCTCAAAAAACTCTAGCACAGTGAGGTAATACGATGGAAATTCGATTAATGTCTTTCCTACTTTTCCTCATATTTTCATCACCAATTTGAGATATCTTTCAGATTATGTCTACTCATCTTCCAGTCTGAAGTATTTCAAAGCTTGAGTTCGAGTAAACTTTATGATTACAAGAAATCAAACAGAGTTGTGAGAGGGGAATCTTTTCAGAGCACCGAAGAAGAAGTTACCCATGAAATTATTCATAATATATTCTTGTAATTTTTTAATAAGACCCAATGTGTTATTAGTAGTAAGTTCGAAAGTAATAAAATGATTATGAAGCCAGACACATAATCGCAACTTTCGAATTCATGATATTTTCAATAAAGATCATCAGGATACTCTTATGCAAGATGCAATTGATAAGGTTTCAGTTGATGCACATAACTTCAACAGGCAGATATAATCCGTAAGCTATAGTACCAATATTGAAAAACTCTATATATATGTGGTCGCTAAACTAGTGAATGAATTGAAGTACCTATAGATAATTTCGAAATAAAAAGTGAGCGACCTAGACGTGAGCGCTCTGAGACAACCTTATGACTTTTTATATATCAAGATAGCAAAGGTATACGGGTGTCCGGAAATTATGCGCAAAAAATCAGGGGGGTGATTCAGCATGAGGAAACATGAAATTTATTTCATATATACTTGAGTCCGGAAATGCATAGTTTTCAAGATACAGTGTGTTAAACTTTTTAGAACAAATCGTTTTTTCATGAATATCTCGAATACTCTTTCACCAATTCACTTGAAATCTGGTTACGATATTCTTTGTCATGAGGGGCTGATTTAGCCATTTTCAAATTGAAATTATGAAATCCAGTGGCGTCCCGGGGGCACTTGTCAATAAAATGTGCGCCACTGATTTTTTTTAAATTCTCTATCTCCATATCCTAATGATTAACTAAAAATACATCATTTTAGTCTCTTGAATTGTTTTGCAATTTTGCTGCGTCTTCGTGGAAAAAAATAGATACCAATTCATTGTATAAATTTGTGCAAAACATTGCTTCAAAAACAGGGGTGAAATTAAATGTGTTATCCATGTCCATAGACGTAGAATATGAATTGAGATTCATGTTCTTCAAATATTTCATAATACATGTTTGTATCATCGAAAACTACGCCTTCCTGAACCGAGAATACATAGTACTCAATATACAGAGTGTAAAGTGTGTCAAACCTGTATCAAGGAATATTTGAAGAAAATGAGTTTCAATACTTATTCTTCATCTATGGACATTGATGCCGCATTTATTTTCACCTCATATTTTGAAAAAAATTTTGGCACAAATTTATGCAATAAATTGGTAATTATTTTTTTCCATGGAAATGACGCAAATTATCAAAATAATTCAAGATATCGGAATGTTGTATTTTTAGTTGGTCAATAGGTTATGGAGATACAAAATTCGAAAAAATCAGTGGCGCACAATTTATTGACAATAATATTCGGTAGGTTGCCCCCCGGGACGCCACTGGATTTTATAATTTTAATTGAATTATGGCTATATCAATTCCTCATGACAAAAAATATTATTGCCAAATTCCAAGGAAATTGGTAAAAGGACATTTGAGATATTCATAAAAAACCGATCTTGTTTAAAAGTTTTAACACACTGTATGTTGAAAACTATGCATTTCCGGACCCAGGTACATATGGAAAGAATTCCTTATTTCATCATGTAGAATCACCCCCTTGATTTTTTGCGCATAATTTCCGGACACCCTGTATATTGCCTCCCGCGTGCTGAGGTGAAATACGAATAATCGTAAACGCATATTTTTGGAAGCGTCATTCTTGAAGTTGTGCTTCAGGCGATCTATCTCTAGATCCAAATTGATGATGTAGTATGTCATAGACCAGCGGTTTTCAACCTTTATTGTTGATATTTTACTGAAAAATGAGCAACGACGGAAAATTTTCAAATTTTGTTCAATGCTATGAAAGGCCATCGAACTATGTAGAAAAAAGAACTTCTTGTTGATACTCGATAGAATGCTTCGTTTCAGAGAAAAAACGGAAAAACGAGACCAGACTTCAAATTCTGATGTCTGAGTAACAGTATGTAACATTTTGAAATTTTCATACCGATTCAGTCACATAGCAGACTGAATTTTGTCATCAAGAAAAGATACAGAGTGGACAAAAAAGAATCTAGGCATATTTTCGACGTTGACACCCTGTATCCCAAAAGTTAGGACGTATACGTGATACGTTCATATGAAGTTTATTTCTTGAAATGGGTCGAATAATCGGCTCCTTGAATATCAGCATATCATTAACACCCTGTATAATAGTTATCGAGTTATCGTTTAATATGTTCAAAATCACATTACCTACCACCTCCCTCCATATACGCCGTTCAACCAAGCACCCTGCATAATTGAAATCATTGCGGACATTTAAATTGGTCGTTCAAAAGTTTCAGAACTAGTAACCGTGTATAACAAAATCGATATAATGTGAGCTTACCTAAACTGGTCGTTTGAATTATCCTATCCGAATAGCTTAGATCAAGTCCGTTAGGAATATGAGGAAATGTATGATGATATCATCGGAATTCAAGAAGAAACCTGTTACTTGTCTTATAATATAGTAATGAAGACACTGTTTAGTTGGATTACACGGATCTCGATAATATATTTCACCTCACAAGAGGGGAAATATGTTTCCCTCCCGGTGTGAGGATAAATTGATATGAATAGATACATGAAATAATAAGGAAAGACCCTGTGGAAGTATGATTAATCTCTATGTTTATGTTATGACACAACCATGAGCAATTCGGAGACAGATGATCCCAACCTTCAAATTCATGATTATATTCAAATCTGCCAGCATGACAGCAATAACAATATATTCACAACGAGAAACTCTGTAGGTGATTGCATTCCCCGTGAACTCACGTAAGTCTATTGCTCTTGAGAATACTCGAATAAATACTCTTCATATTTCAGGGCATCAAATTCAATATGAAACATTTCAGATCCTCTCCTATATTGTGACACACGATAAGAGAGGTTCAAATAACAAGTTAATATCCTTATCACAAAGGAAGCGTTTCGAAGCACCTTTCATTTACAATGTAAGTAGATATAGGAAATACTCTCGGAGAATTTATTGGTGAATATTGGCTAATATACAGGGAGACATTTTGTAAACTTCCCATGCACCCTCAATATCTTCCTTTCAGTAAATGATATGAAAAATCTGAAAGACAAGTCAATTTCATTTTCACGGAGGACACTTAAAATTGATATTTCTAGCCCTCTTCGTTCAACCCCCTAGAAGTGGGCACATCATTTTGCAGGGCGTACAATTATCTGCCCAATCATACCCTACTTCATCATTATCTTTTGAGCAGTTTCTCAAAAATGCCGTGTCAGTTGGAAAAGTTTCCACCCTTAATATATTCCTTTCATTAAATCCTATGAAGAATCTAAAACAGGTCAATTCCATTTTCGAGGGCAACACTTTGAATGTTCATTTTCAGCTTTCATGGTTCAACTCCCTAGGAAGGGTTTATGAAGAACCTGATTCGAAAGTGGTGTCAAGATACACATTATCTCGAAGGGCGTCCAACATTATCCTACACAGTTGAAAATTCTATAGAGTGGAGCTTTCCTTTGAAATGGAAATGCACAATTATATAGTTTCATTAGGAACTCAAATTCAGACATTTTGGGTCAATATAATTCAAATAGTAGCTATAAAATGGTTACTCAATCCGGTGTTGACCTGGATTGGCACAAAGTTGTTTGGACCTCGAGTAAAAATCAATTCCAAAATATTCACCATATTTTAATGAGCAGTTTCCGAAACATTCCGTTTTAAACTCACAGAAGTATTTAGAACATACCTGCACTGAGATGCATGGTTTTAAGGTTAGTATTATCGTATTGACTCTCCTATCAGTTCAATATCTTCCAACCATTCACCCTGGGAGGTAAGTCAATACAATTGATAATACTGATCTGAATGTCATGCATTTGAGTGCAGGCATGTTCTTGTTACTTCTGTAAATTCTGATCTGTAATTTTTGGCAACTGCTCATCGAATAATGTTGAACTAGGGTTGTGTTGAATTGAACGCCATTCAGAATAATGTCAACCTGATTCCATTTTCAAATGAGGTTCTCAGGGTAACATTTACCCGTCCTAGGGGTTGAACCATGGGGGCTTGAGATAAGCATTTGAAATGTCCTTCTTGTGAACAAAATTGACCTGTCTTTCCGATTTTCCATATTATCTACTGGAAGGGAGATATTGAGGGGGAAAGTTTTCTAATAGACACAGCATTTTTCGAGCACTAATCAACAGAAAATGATAAACTAGGATACTGTAGGAAACAGAATTAAACGTCCTTCAAATTGATGTGCCACTTGACCCTCCTTCCCATTTGAGACCTAAGGGTAACATCTTCCCGTTCTGGGAGGTTGAACGAAGAGGGCTAAAGATATCAAGTGTCTTCCTTGCGAATACAATTGATCTGTCTCTTCGATTTTTTATATTACACGGTAACAAATCCTATAGAGTGAAGTTTTTCGTCGAAATATGAATGCACAATTATTTTCATTAAGAACTCAGATCTTGATGAATGTCTGTCGAAGGATAGAAATAAAATGATTACACAATCTGGTGTGGACATGCATCGACACATAGTTGTGTGGATCAAGAGTTAAAATGAACTAAACAAATTTCATCGTTTATTCAGTGACTGGAAGATATTGAGGGTAAGAAGTTTTTGAAATGTCAAGATACTTTCTTGACTGATACTCAATAGTTATTTATTATACAAGGGAAAAAAGTAGTAGATTTTAGCTCCAGGTTGTGTTGTCTCCCGACGCGTAGCGGAGGGAGACAAAAAACCGTGAGCTAAAATCTAATATTTTTCCCGTGTATAATACACTATTTTTTTCTGTGACAGAAGGAAGGACGAATCAATATTGAGAAGATATTACATTATTTCGAAATCTGAAAATTATCGACGTGAAATTTCAAGTTTTAAACAGTAGGGACACCTGCATTTTATAGACATCTTAATCATTCTTTTGAAGTAATCAAATATCTGATGTCACTTCTGTCAGTTCAATTCTGTGATTTGATTTTAAAAAATTGCGAATTCAGTAGTTGTTTAGTAATATACGAAACCGCGAAGTCGAATGGAAGATAAAAGGACTTGCAGTTCTTTCTCGGGACGGTATTATTGACTCATTTCTCGGAACTATAGCACAACAAAAGCCATTAACAGAGTATATATATGTGATATATATCCGGGAAAAAAGTACTCACTTTTTTCCCACGGGAAAAAAGTAATTCATGAAAAGTGACATTTTATAACCTGCCAACAGAGATGAAATGCCAAACTTTTTTCCCGTCACAGAAAAAAATATTATGTATTCCATATCATTACAATTTTCTTCTATAATCAGGATTTGGACTCACTTGAAGACTGCTGAACATTTTATTGAATTTTCGAAATATTGCACGTGATTGCACGGTAACATTATTCGATCGAATAGATGATTTCATCTAAACTTGTCATCAGCCATAATTTGTTTGAATATTTCATACACATTGTTGCTTCTTCTTCTTCTCTTTTCCTTCTTGAAACTTACATGGAATGAGAAGCTGAAATATGTATGACTACTTTGTCAAATTCCTTTGCTGAAACGCGACATACTCTTCCTCTACTCAAAAAATGAACCGAACAGTTAGCCAACAATTTTCTCCTCAATGAGAACCACTGTTTATACCTAACATCAGGCGCCTACCCCGGTTGCAACGAGTGTTCACCGATGCCAAGAGGTTGATACTCTCCACTCGTAAGGGTACCTCTTGTGTCTCTGTCGAGACATAAAGGTTACTATCGAAAAATTCACTATGACATATCGCCTTCAACAACAAATATGAAATTTTGAAGAAATAGTCGAAATAATTTCAATATAATTCGTAACAGGAATACAAAACGTATCAACGATCGCTGGTTTCTGGTCTGGTCACCTCTAATGTGCAATTTTTCCGTGTATTGATAACATGTCGTTTCTTTGATATAAAATTTATCAGAAAAAGCTGATTCCCCATTGTGGCGGGTCATCTCTATTGAAAATTAGGATTGTATGAGGCAGGTCATTGAATATTGAAGAATGCTCTGACAAGAGCTCTTCATTTATACATAGAAGGTGACAGTCGTTTTTTTCTGAAACGATTCCAATAGGTTCCTTATGATCGGGGACAGACAAAAACAATTTGGAACTATTTCTATCTGACGAAACATATTTGTAATGTTCCATATAATTATTATGTTTACACCTTGTATATACTAATAATCAGGGTGCCGCTGGAACGTTCCACGCGGATATATACTGCCTTAATTAAATGTAAATTCACTGCCTCTACTTCGACAACATAGATCCGGGGTTCATACATTACATGGGATTCTGGAACAGAGATAAAGCCATTATTTACGATCATCAGAGTTCATTTTTTGTTGGAAGTTCGAGACGAGGATCTCACGGTCATTCGTTCCAAACAGAATGAGTTTCAGGATGACAGTAAATTAGGCTTTTTGTGTGTCAGGATCAACATTCCTGCTGATTCAAGTGGAAGGATTGAAGAAGGTATCTCGCAACTTGAACTCGATCATTCTTGAATTTGGTTTGTGATAATTCTCATATCATTCCACTTGGAATTAATGATATGAGTTACGATATAGACACATTTGGATTGGAAATAAAGGGTTTGCATTGGGAGTAGGGAAATTAACATTGTAGATGGATAATTGTAAATTGTAAAAACATCCACATAAGAATTGAGATCGAGATTTTCAAGTCGGAAATATCGACGCAATTCCAAGGTCAACGAGCTATACTAATGCCGTGATATAGATGTGGATATGGTAGAAGAATATGTACCCATTTGAACTGTGAGAAGAAACGAAAAGGTGTTCTGAATTTTTTGTTCTTTGCGCATTCGGCACTGAATAAACATCTCACAATGAATATCGCAGATAAAAATTGATAAAAATTAGTGAATACAATATTATGTGAGCTACCTACCTTCCAAAAATAACAAAACTATACGAATCATTTTTGTGGCCACACCGCTACGGAATAACTACGAGAAATATCATAGCTGTCAAATCTCACATAGTATGGATTCACAACAGCATTTTTTTATGTTCTGGTTCCCACGAAAAATTATATCCTGTAATGTTCAGATAACATCGTGAGAACCAAGGGAATAAAGGTGGGAATTGGTGTTCTCCTTGAATTTCTGGAGGTTATATGCCTCAGGGAACACCTCCCTTGGCAATCTGTTCCAGAGCCTCGCGGTTCGTTGGATGAACGACTATAATCTTTGGCAAGAGATGTTCTGCAGGTCTCCAAAGTGACCACGAAGGGGTGCGAAGCCTCAACTCGACGGGTTAATCTCGCTGGGACTGCCAAGGGAGGATTAATTGTTGATATAATATCTAAAAAATAGAGCCAGATCGCCAACTTTTCTACGCTGTTCCATAGAAGTGAGTGAGTTCGTGAGCGAGGCATCACCCACGAGACGAATTGCCCTCTTCTGGACAGAATCCAACAGTTTCAGGGTATGTTTGGGTGCTGCACTCATATATGGAAACAGTATTCCAGGACAGGTCGGATCTGTGCCTTATAGATCAAAAGCAGCTGACTGGAAGTGAAATAGTCCCTGGCTCGAAACAGAAAACGCGATGTTGTCGCTTCTTGAACCAGAATAATATCTATGATCCTTCAGTACTTGTGGGTGGGATACATAGGGATTTTGTTCACCAATTGAATCTTCCAGTTGTGTTTTCATGATTCTGCATGTCAGTAAAACACTAGTGGTGGTAGAAAAGAGACATACAATGTTTCTCATTGATTTATCGAGAACAGTGAAACAAGAGCAATTTCGTGTAAAAACAGTAGATAAACAATTTTTTTCAGTTGTGTGATGAATTGAGGAAAACCACTTGATTGGGTATCAAAGTTTTGATAAGGAATATTCTCAGATTTATTATAAACATGAAGATACATTGAAAATTCGCATTCTTCATCTGATGAAAATATGAATTCTT